AATTAGAGAGTATGAGAGTTTTAGTTTACAAAGAAGGGACAGATAATAACTAAAGAACCACAAATATTCAAGAAGATGACTGAAGAGAAGAAGATGACTCTCGTGAGAAGTACAGTGGGAGTTTTAGATAGAGAAAGAGCTCTGAGAGAGAGAATAAAAGGTAGTGTGAAAAGAAAAAGGAGAGAGATCTGAGGAAAAATACCGTAGTACAGATCGGAGAAACAGGAAGGCCAAACAAAACTTCAGGGAACGAGGCTATGATACCATGTGAGAAACTATATTTATGTATAATTTAGGCCTTAAGCCCCATGAGAGGTGTATTATTGAGCTTATCAAAGATATGAACAAGAGCTCCAATTTATAGGGTTACAAAGATGTGTAGTACTATAAAAACTAGCATACGTAATAAACCACCTTCCTAATATTGGTAAAGTGTAAGTTTCTATTTTCCACACAGGGCACCAAAGCAAGAGTCTAACCCAAGACCTTGAAGCCCATGAACCACAAACCACCGGGCCATCAAAAGGTTTCAAGTATAAAGTGGTAAGTTAGTGGCGATTTGGGTCCTTATCTTTTGGTGAGAATGGAGTCAGAGTCATCACCATGAGACTCATAATACTATTGCCAAGCCCATTATACTTTTGTAAGAAAATTTATATTGAGTTTCTCCTCATTCTTTTCTGCTAATATATTGACATGGAGAATTGCTAACTGGTTTTAGAGGGAGAGATCCGTTTCAAAAGAGAGAGAGAGATATGTTGTACTGTTTAGAGAGATGTGAAAACATGTACAGGGAGTTTTGTTAAGTGCTAGAGAGAGAAATATAGAGGAGAGAAAATGGGGAAGCTAAACTCTTGAGAGAGAACATTTAGAGAGAGAGAGAGAGAGCTCTAAACTAGATTTCAGTAACACTTCCTTGCTTTCCCTTAGTCTAGTCTAAGGCAAAAAACTAGATTTCAGTAACACTTCCTTGCTTTGCCTTAGTCTAGTCTAAGGCAAAAAACTAGATTTCATTAAAAATTGATCAAAACTAACATCGGTCAAGTTTTAGTTGGTTCATCTTGCAGGTTTCAATCCGTTCAACAGGATAAAAACAAATTTGGGCATTCTTTTTCTAATGGAAAATTATTTCATGCGGGGTGGACCACATTTCTACCTATCCAATCTAGAAAATGTAAAGCATTATCTTAAAGATGGAAGCAAGCAGGTGGTCCATCTAAAAACAATGGAAACTAACGGTCCAAATGCTTTTTTATTAGAATTATTATTTCTAATTTTTAAAATTTATTTATTTTTTCATATACATGATCTCCATGTTAGAGATTACATGTCCTTAAAACTAAAAGATTAAAATCCATCTCACAAATTCATTTATTAAGAGGCCCGTATTTCTACATATGTAGGCTTGGCCGCATAGAAACTGGATCCTTTTCTAATATATTGCATATTTTTAGGAAAAATGTTTATATAAAGGTGAGGCCCTAAACAATCAAATTAAGGCGCTTCTCCAAAATTCACCAGAAGGGGTAGTTTCGATGCTGAAAAGCCTTCAAATCATCTTGACCTAAAGGTCTATGAAAATGAGAAAAAATAGATTTCAAGTATTGAAAACACGTATCATGTAATGTATTTTCTAGGCCATCAATTTTCAAGTGTTCATAAATGCTCAATCTACACTATTTTTGAATTTATAAGTTTTATAATCAAAGATAAAAATAAACTTTCAGACCATCGTAAAGATTCATGATACTGAAATATTATAATTTGGTACTAGTTGAAGGTGCACTTCTTTTTTATTGTTTAAGGTCCCAGCCTTATACAAACCACACTTTATTTTTAAAACTATCCTTCACATTTTACAATGTGGATAACACTATGCAATGCCCTTAGGAAAAAATGAATAGTATTTCACCTATAGTCTCACCGCCGTCCAATTTTTTTGGACGACATGAAAAAATCAACAGCACCAAAAATACAATGTCCAGTGCGGTTAATTTTTCACACGAAACTGCAACAGCTCTACGAGAGCCGTTGAGAGGCACAAACTCTGTACACTCTCACCCCATTATTAAGGGTTTTCCTTGCACTATATTTCTAAAAGAAAAAGTTTATATAAGTTCATATAAATAGGAGACTCTAAATAATCAAAGCAAGGTGCACCTCATGAATTTCACTAAAAGACATCGTTTTGATGTCCAAAAATCCTTAAATTAATCATCAACACCTCACGATGCATGGACATGACAAAAACTAGATTTCAAATATTAGAAATATTGTATCTTATAATATATTTTTAGACTATCATTTTTTAAGATTTCCAAGTGTTTATAGATATGCTCCATCTATATTATTTATAGATGGCTTTAAATTTTATAATTAGATATAAAAATAAAATTACATGTCATCACAAAGATTCCTCATACTAAAATGACATATTTTAATTTTGACACTGTTTGAAGGTGTGCTCTACTTTGATTATTTAGGGCTTCGACCCCATAAAAACCATCCATTTCTAAAAACTTGACAACCTAGATTGTTCAAATTGATTTTGAATGGAACAAACCCTTCAATCTCCACTGCATCATTTATCATTTTGAGAAATGTCCGTCATAGATAAATAGATTAAATCATAGTTTGGAAGCTGCAGTCCGTTGAAGGGGATCATTGACTCTCATTCCCCGCAGGTTCCTCTCTCTTTCAACTCTCTAGTCCGGGTAGCTCTCTCTCTCTAAAGATGGGTAGGGCCCACCCTTTCTCTCTCTCTCTTCAACAACAAATGGCCTTCTTTTTTATTATTGAGCCTATGCCAACTTGTATTTGCAAAATAGAAACACCTAAAAAACAAAAAAAAAACAAAGAAAAAAAGGTCCATATAAAACTGAGCCTCTAAACAATAAAAAAAATCCAGTAGAAGAAGTCATTTTAATGCTCAAATATCCTCAAATTGATCATCTCGACATCAAGATGCATGGACATGTAAAAAAAATGGATTTTAAAGTTTAGATATAGTGCATCTTGTAATGCATTTTTCTATGATCAATTTTCAAGATTTCCAAATTTTCATATATCTATCTGCTCGATCTACATTATTTTTTAAGCTTTAAATTTTATAATCAAAGATATAACACTATTTTAAAGCTATCACAATATTTTCAGCATTAAAACCACATTGTTCGATACCATTTGAAGGTCCCCTCTACTCTGATTGTTTAGAGCTTCAACTCTATACAAACCGCACCCAATAAAACTCCACCCCACATTCACAAGAAGAAGCATTCCAATTCAATTTTTTTTAGAAAAAGGAGGGGAAAAAATGAAATTTAAATCAGTGTTCAAAAGATCAGTCGATTTTTAAAAGATCGACCGACTAACTTAAGAGCGATCACTAGCCGATCCCGATCTAGCTTGATTCCAATGGTCATGTATGCAATCAGCAGACTAATCGAACTAATCGGCACTAACCGGACGATTAGTGCAATAATTAACGATTTGTTCTAAAAATTGGTCGACAAGTGCACTGTTATAGTCAGCGTTTTAAAAATCGCCGAGTCGAACCGGACTCGCCCGGTTCGACTCGGAATTCAAGAAAAAGGTACCGGATCGGTTCAAAAACCGGGAATCGTCCGGTTCTAGAGAGAACGGACGATTCCGCACAGTGACTCGCCGATTCA